AACCCATAGCCATACTAGATGATACACACAAATTGTGGCAGGAAATCAATAGAAAACGTAAATTAGCCAAGGAGGAAAAGACAACAGAAGCGGTGGAATCCAAGAAACAGAAATTGGAGAAAACCAAAACGGAAGAAAAACAAGAGCCGGCGGTGTTGACTAAGAAACAAAAATTGGAAAATGAAGCTAAAAGTAAAAAGGAAAAACAGATAGAGCAAGCTAAAAAACATCAGTTGGATATGTTAGAAAAGAGAAAGGAAAAAAAGCGCACAGCGTCAGAAACTAAAGCACAGGAAACGGTAAAAACTACAAAAACTAAAGCTAAGAAAACTAAAACAGAAGACAGTAACAATGCCAGTGATAGTGACAACGATAATGAAACTAAAGATGATACCTTGCTCTTCTATGAAGATAAAGCACCCGATACAAAGGCAGCTGAAAAAGTTATAGATGTTAGTAAAACAACTACCAACTCCAACACAAATAAAAAACCCCAAAAACCTGTTGTGAAATCCCTAACAGGTGTTAATGATTTTTGGAATCTTGATTTAAACAATATCTCCACAAATGTTGAATCCTCAGATGACGATGATGACAACGATGAAAAGGATGAGAAACCCAGCAATAAAAAGAAACTTACAGCCGCTGAAAAATTCAAACAGCAACGTGAAGAGGAGGCCCGCCTACGAGCCATAGAAGAAAAATATGCCGATCCCAATCAATTACCCGATTCAGTAGATCAATTCGATCGTTTAGTACTCTCTGATCCTAATAACAGCAAACATTGGATCAATTATATGGTATTTCATTTGCAATCGACCGAAATCGACAAAGCCAGAGCTGTGGCACGCAGAGCTTTAAAAACCATTACCTTTAGAAATTCCGATGATCAAATCAATATTTGGGTGGCTTTACTTAATTTGGAATTGCGCTACGGCAGCAAGGAAACCTTTAATGATACCCTCAAGGAGGCCTTAATGTACAATGAACCCTTAAAGATTTATCTGCGCACCGTGGAAATTATAACAGATGCCCAAAAGACCGCCGAACTGGTGGAAATCATTGGCAATTTAACGAAAAAATTCAAAACAGAACCCGAAGTTTGGCGCGTATGTGCAAATGCTTTCTTCACAGTGGGTATGACCGAAAGAGCACAACAATTGTTGCACAAAGCTCTAGCCTGTCTACCGGAAAGAGATCGTAAGTTTTGATACGGATCTGTTAGGTTATTCAATGTTTAATTTTGTGTGTTTTTTTCTCGTTTAGATGTCAATACTATTGTCGTGTTTGCCAACTTAAATCACAGACATGGCAACAATGAAATGGCCCAGACTTTATTGGATCAAGTGGTTACTTCTTATCCCAAACGTGTGGATGTTTGGTGTCAATATGTGGACATGTTGGTTAAGGCAGAGTTAATAGATTCAGCAAGGTGAGTAAAAAAGTGTGATTTAAAATAAATTATAATAAAGAATCGAAAATTATCAAGTTTCGAAGTTCAAAAGATTGATACTTCAAAGTTCTCATAAAAATTTGAAATTTTTAGAAAGATTAGAAAATTTTATACAAAAAATTTATAATTTTAATAAAATAAAAAACAAAAATTCAAAATTTGAATAAAAAAATCAAAATTTGAATAAAAATTCAAAATTTGAATAAAAATTCAAAATTTGAATAAAAAAAAATAAAAAATTTAATAAAAATTCAAAATTTGAATAAAAATTCAAAATTTGAATAAAAATTCAAAATTTAAATAAAAGTACAAAATTTAAATAAAAGTACAAAATTTTAATAAAAATTTGAAGTTAGTTAGTTAGTTAGTTAGTTAGTTAGTTAGTTAGTTATTGTTAGTTAGTTGTTAGTAGTTAGTTGTTAGTTAGTTAGTTAGTTCGTTCGTTCGTTCGTTAGTTAGTTAGTTAGTTAGTTAGTTAGTTAGTAGTTAGTTTAGTTAGTTAGTTAGTTCGTTAGTTCGTAGTTAGTTAGTTAGTTAGTTAGTTGTTTCGTTCGTTAGTTAGTTCGTTTAGTTAGTTCGTTAGTTAGTTCGTTTCGTCGTCGTTCGTTCGTTCGTTGTTAGTTCGTTAGTTCGTTAGTTAGTTCGTTCGTTCGTTCTCGTTCGTTCGTTCGTTCGTTCGTTCGTTTCGTTCGTTAGTTCGTTCGTTCGTTTCGTTTAGTTCGTTCGTTTTCGTTCGTTCGTTCGTTCGTTCGTTCGTTCGTTCGTTCGTTGTTCGTTCGTTCGTTCGTTCGTTCGTTCGTTCGTCGTTTCGTTCGTTCGTTTCGTTCGTTCGTTTTCGTTCGTTCGTTTTCGTTCGTTTCGTTCGTTTCGTTCGTTCGTTCGTTCTTCGTTCGTTGTTCGTTCGTTCGTTCGTTCGTTTGTTCGTTCGTTCGTTCGTTCGTTCGTTCGTTCGTTCGTTCTTCGTTCGTTCCTTCGTTCGTTCGTTCGTTCGTTCGTTCGTTCGTTCGTTCGTTCGTTCGTTCGTTTCGTTCTTCGTTTCGTTCGTTCGTTCGTTCGTTCGTTTTCGTTCGTTCGTTCGTTCGTTCGTTCGTTTCGTTCGTTCGTTTTCTTCGTTCGTTCGTTCGTTCGTTCGTTCGTTCGTTTCGTTCGTTCGTTCGTTCGTTCTTTCGTTCGTTCGTTTCGTTCGTTCGTTCGTTTCGTTCGTTCGTTCGTTCGTTCGTTCGTTAGTTCGTTCGTTCGTTCTTCGTTCGTTCGTTCGTTTCGTTCGTTCGTTTCGTTCGTTCGTTCGTTCGTTCGTTCGTTCGTTCGTTCGTTCGTTCGTTCGTTACGTTCGTTTCTTTGCTTCGTATTCACGTTTCCCCCCTCCGTTTTTAAATATCCCGCTTTCTTTTTTGCTTTTAATACAAATTAAGATTTATGGCTGAAATTTGAATTTTTTCACATAGTTATATGAAATTTACAAATTGGACAATTTTGTTTTTTTAAGCAAAAATTTTCCATTGATAAAAAACTAGACAGAATCCATTGTCTTAACAAAACAAATTATTAGGAAATCTAAAAAATTTTGCTCACATTTCTCTCATTTTAACTCAACTAGTTCACACTAGCTTTTGCACCTAAATTTAAAAGCTTTTTTACATTATTATTTACTTTAAAATAAATATTCATTTGTTTCATCTCTAGAAATATCTTGGAACGTGCTGTTGTTACAAAAAATACCTTTTACGGAAAATGCGTACAATTTTCAAAAAATATTTGGAATTCGAAGAACGTTTTGGCAACGACACTAATGTTCAACGAGTTAAGCTATTGGCCATGGATTATGTTAAAAAGAATGAAAATCTATAAAAAAAAAAGAATATTTATATTTAAGTGAAATGTTAGTTTTTTTTTTTGTTTTTCTTTTTAGAGATTTCTATACTCTATATGTAAATGAGAATAAGATGAGGTATATTATAAAGAAATATACAAATAAATATTTTTTAAATATATTATAGAAAATAAGTATACAAATTGTATGATTCATTGAAAGCAAGCAGAAGAACTAGGGGGTTGTTTATAATTTATGAATGTGTGTAATTGTATTTGTTTTAGTAGAATGTGTGAAAGAGATTAAAAAGAAGTTAAAAGAAATTTATGGCCGACTAAATAAGAAATTCAAAATTGACTGGACTTTTAATTTTTATAATTTTTTGTGATAATATTAATCAAATTATGATATTAAGAGAATAAAGAAATATAGAAAAATATTTAATGTCGATCGTACATTGAATAAAATCATTAGTCATCTTGAAAACATAAGTTTTAGTATTGACGTTGACAACAAATAATGTTTCTTACATCAAAAATAAACTATATTTTAAAAATAGATAATATATTCATATAGTTTCACTATATTTTTTACTTAAACATCTAATTTTATGTTATGGCAGTCTTGTAGTAAATAAATGATCCTTTTTGAAGAATTGTTTCACCAAAAATGAAAAGATTTCAAAATAACATAAATTTTTCTCAAGATATGAACAATTTTTCTTAATATGATTGAGGCAATATATAATAATTTTTTAATAAAAATTTTTATCTAAATATTGCTCAAAATTGCTTCTAATCTTAAAATGTTCTCTAAAGCTTCTCTAGAAATACATAGTTTTATAAATCTTGCTACAGAACGAGTGTCAACTAGAGATAGATAACACTTTCACAGAACCAGTTCCTAAGGGGACAATTTTAAATAAATAAGAATCATTGATCTCATGTCAATAACACAAATAAAACCGCCAAACTAGAACATATAACTTGACCCTCGACTTATTGCAATTATTGAAAAGTCGACTTTCATTCGTTAGTTCGTTATTAAAGGGTTTAACTGTATTTCAAGTTTTTATACTACATATTTATTTACAAACTCGATTACTCAATTTATTGAACCCAATTTCTTATTATAAAATTCTAATAGGAAAGTATTTATTTCACTCGAAATACAGCATGTGTCTTACTATCATTTTATTTAGGAGTATTGTTGCAGCTGATAAAATCTAATATAATCTTTAAACTTTCCCCATCAGAATTATGGAAAATTATTAAAGCTCACAAACATTCTTGTAAAAGATTTAGATTTTTTTAAAAAGTTCGATTATTCGAAAATTTTAACAAATTAAACGAGTTTTTAAACACATTCAGTGATAACACTGTTTCATAAGTCATTTGTATTTAGTCGTTATTAGTGCATCTGGCAATGCCTTATATAATTAACGGTAGTTATATGAAAAATGTATCATGTGGCAGCACCACCTTAATTTTTTTGGTTTCTTAAAGAAAACATACATTTTACATAATATAACTCTACTTTAAAATAGATAATAATTATAAATTAGTTAAATCCGAAGTAAGTAATATGTTTTGTTAATATAAAATTCACAATTTGTTTTCCCCGTTTTTTTGCTAAATAAGATTGCCATATTGTTCTGCATTTTTAAACATCTTAACGTAAATACAACTCTGCGCCCAACGAATGAGACAAATAAGATGAAACAGCAGAGAAATGAAATAATAAAAAAGAAGAATTAAAAATATAACCAGCCGATAATATTCTTAACAAAAATATATTTTTTTATTAGTAATTAACAATGAGCGCATGAGAATACAACGTTGAAAAGATTCGTGATTCGTTATAGAAGCGATTATTTCTTAAAATTGTATTTTTTCAAAAATAAAAAAGAAAAGTTAACGCCATTAAAATAAATTACTAGTTAGAAAAACAAATTTTGCCCAGAATTGCTCTAAGAAATAACCAATATAAAAAAGCAGTGCTTCTTCTGGGAGAAATCAAAAAAGGAAGAAAAATAAGAATAAAACGAAATCAAAGTGCTTTAAAATAACCAACAACAACAATAACTACCAAAAGCAGTATTTCGTCGTCGTTTCCTTGTCCATAATATAAAAATAACAAAGAAGAAGAATACATATAATAAATATAAAAAACGAGGAAAAATATAAAAATAAGAAAATATTTTTGTCTTCCTGCTTCATAAAAAAAAAGAAAGAATTACGTACCTAAAAAAAGTTTTCTCTTGCTGGTTTCTTGTTGCAATTTACTTGAAATAAATCCGACAGAATTTACAAGAAAATTTTAAGAAAAGAAAAATAATTTTTAGAAAAATTGTGCAATTGTTTTTTTTTTGTTGTTTTTGTGTAAAATACAAGAAAATTAAATTAGAAAAATATCAAAAAAACACCAGTGAAAAATTATTAACGAAACCAAAAAAAAATTGGTATTAACGAAACAGGAGGGTTGGTGGGTCTCAATACGTCTGCCTAAAATAAGCTTTCAAATGTATTGAAAATAGGAAAAAAATAGAAATAACACAACAATTTCAACGATTCTTTTTATTTTAAAGAAAAAGATAACGCAAGTTCCCCATTTTAATTTGAAAGCATCAACATCATCATTATCATCGATAATAACATCATCAACGCCAACAAAAGAACAAAGGAATATCATAATTATTATTATTGTTTTTGTTGCTGAATAATTATAAAGCATCAGCAACAGAACAATACAAACGTAATACAAAAACAACATATAGAATAGAACAGAGAAGACAAGTACCACTTAACCACAAAAAAGATATTCCAAAATATATAATTGCCATGGATCTTTCATATATTGTTTGTAATGCAGCCAGAGAAAATAATTTAACTCTACTGAAGGTGAGTGTAATTTATAAATAAAACATTTTACGTTTTACGCGAAAAAAAAAATCAGCCAGAACAAAGAACTGCCAAGTGAATAGGTATCTATGTATCTCGTAAATATCTTAAGAAAAATTAAGAAAATTCGCTAAAAAAATTTATGGGGAAATTCAACAGCAACAATAACATTAATTTGCTTATTTATTTGTCTGTCTGTTATCGCTATGATGGGTCTATTTGTTTTTGTTTTGCGTTTAACAGGAAATGCAGCCGTTTGCTGTATGTATTTTTGTTATGTTATTGTTTTTCTTTTCTTGTTTTCTTTTCTTAATGAGCTGCTTTTGTTGTTATTTTATTGGGGAGCAACGAAAACATTAAATTCTTAAATTAAATCTCCCCCTCACTATCCCACTGTTTTGAGTTAAGAGACATAACAACAAATCTTCTTTTGACACATTCATGTGCATGAGGTTTCTATTGTTGCTGTATTGGTGACTAATCAATAAAATGCATGAAAAACTATTGACATAGAAATAATAAAAATAAACATTATGATTAAAATGCATTGGCAACACCTACAATTATGTAGATAAGAAGACAAAAACTACAAACAACTAAATAAATGTACCGCAATGTTAGGAAAATTCTTATCGTGGTACAGCTGATTAATTTATTATTGTTTTTGTAGGGTAAATGCACCTAATGTCGGCATCACCCAGTAGTCGGCATCTTTTACATAAAAATGTAAATAAATAAGAAAAGCTGTACAAATTTATTAAGGTTTGATCTATATTTCATAGAAAATATGGTCTTTTTGCTTTATGAAATGAGTAAATTTAAGTAGGATTACTAATTTCCTTTATATTTGACGTTATTTAGTGACAGCTTTGCAGCATTTGTAGTACTGTCAGTTTTCTTAAAAAAAATTAGTTTTAGTGCCACCTTAAACAAGTGAATATTTATATGAAATTAAAAGATTTATTTGACAAAAATTGATTTAAATGAAAGAAAACAGTTGAAATATTCAATTTAAAGTGAAAAAGTTAGTTAAAAATATATTTTTTTGTAATTTTAATCGCTGCCGCCATTAGGAACACAATTTTTTATGAATTCTTATTGTCGGCATAGGGGTGCCGACTACTGGGTATTAAATTCGATCATACGTATTCTATAGTCGGCACTCTAAAATTTATTATTTCTCTATAGAAAAATTGGGTATATTACTATGAAAAATTTCTATATAACAATTTTCTCTTCAAAAATTATACGTATAACAGTTATTTTTGTAAAAAAAATTATGTATAACTCTTTTCTCTATAAAAATTTATGTATATTACAATTTCCTCTATAGAAAATTGATTGTACAACATTTGTTTCTATAGAGAATTATGTCTATACAATTTTTTTCTATAGAAAATTTTATGTATAACAATCTTTGATACAAAAAATTATGTGTATATCAGTTTTCTCTATGAAAAATTGTGTGTATACCCTTTTTTTCTATAGAAAATTACTTCTATAATAGCTTTTTCTATAGAAGATTACAATTTTCTACTACAGAATACAATTTTCTATACAAAAAATATGTGTATAACAGTTTTTTCTATTAAAAATTTTGCATATAGACATTTTTTCTAACAAAAATTGCTTCTTAACTGTTTTTTTACAAAAAAATTATGAGTATAACAATTTTTTTCTATAGAAAATTCCTAGTATGACAATTTTTCTATAGAAAAGTGTTCTTATTATAATATCCTCTACGAAACTTATGTTTAATTTTTTTCCTATGGGAAATTGCATATTTTTATAAAAGATTTTCTTTAAAAAACAGTACATATAACACTTTTCCCTATAAAAAATTACTTTTTTTTCTAACAAAAAATATAATATTGTATAGAAAATTGCATGTATAACTCTTTTTCTATAGAAAAAAATGTTATTATGTATACTTATTACAATTATAATTATGTTTATAACATATTTTTTTACAGAAAAAACGATATTATTACAGTTATTTCTATAGAAAAAATTTAATTAAATATTTTCTTTGGAAAATTGTGTATATATCACTTTTTTCTATAAATAAATATGCTTTTTTCAAACAAAAAATCTACTGCCGACTATAGGGACATTTTTTGTCGAACTTAGGAACACTCGTGCCGACTATTGGAAAATGTAGAGTTTTTAACAAAATTTACAAATTACTAAAAACTAGTTATTTGTTTTTCAAAAAAGTTAAATGGATCTAAAACTTAACTAAACACATAATTGAAATAACTAAAAATCATCGTAATAACATTTTCCGACTCTTTAGGGGGATAGTTTGAAAAAGAGAAAAAAGTTAAACTGCCGACTATTGGTACATTTACCCTATAAAAGGTGTAACAACAAGGGTCGACAAAATTGGTACAATTTAATCTTCAAAAGCAAAATGGTACACCAATGATCCATTTTCTTAAATTTTAAATGTATTTCCTTATTGAAAGAAAGGACTATCGACTTGGGTCAAATATTTACAAAATTTTAGAATAAGAAAAATAAAATTCTTGTTTATAGGTATTCTTTCATATTGTTATGAAACATGAAAGAGATTACAATCAGACAAGCAGTAATATGTTTTACCAAAAAATTGAAACTTCGCTCCAGAACGACCGGTGTTATATTCGGCTAAAGATTGTCAACCCGGCCACATGCGAACTATATCACAACAACTATCAAAGAGTACGTTGAGTTGAATAAAACTTAAAAGTATCTTTTACTAGTCTAATGGCTATTGTAGGGGCTAGTCTATTAACTTGGCTATGAATTAGTCTGCTATGTAGTCTTAAAAGTGGTCTACTTCCTAGTCTATATACAATTCTCTTGTTTAGTTTATAAAATCCTCAATGAATTAGTCTTTGGATTAGAATACGGACTATTCTTAAGACTAGACAATAACACTACTCTAATGTTTAATCTATAGACTAATCTATTGATGAATGATACATATAATTGGTTAATTTTGAAAGTGGTTTCATTTTCCATCCCTGATAACAGCATTTAAAAAGTTACTACGGTATTGATACCATTCTGATTAGAATGCGTCAAAGTCTAATGGGTGCACTCCATACTCTTGGATCGATAAATTTGTATTTTAGAGCAAAGATTTATGTCAAACTTATATGGGGGTGTGATAAAATATAGACAAATAATTATAAAATTTTATAGAATCCGAATTACAAAATATATTTGTCATGATTGCTGCATCAATGCGGTAATTAGAGTTCAACTGATGTTCCAAGGATCATTTATGTGAGTTATTCAAATTCTGAATGTTCTTTAAAGGTAGAAAACACTTAATAAGTATGATACCCCTTACATATCCATTGGTTCGTCAAGATTATATAATTTCCCTAAGAGGCCTCATCAACTTCAGATTTATTAATAGTTCCCTGGAGTTCAAAACCCCTTACATATCCATTGGTTCGTCAAGATTATATAATTTCCTCAAGAGGCTTCACCAACTTTAGATTCATTAGTAGTTCCCTGGAGTTCAAAACTCTTTCCAATAATTAAACAATTTTTTCTGATTTTCTTATAATTCTAAAAATCTTATCTTATCAATATAAACAAAATCAAAACAAAAAATAGATAAAATATGAGTTCACACATAAAGCAAAATAAGAAAAAAAATTAATAAATTTTATCAACAAAGAAATAATTGAAACAAAGCAATAAAATCAAAGTGTTGAAATCAACTTCCTTTAAAAAGACTTTTTCTTTGCAGTTCAATAAAATATATTCGTTTAAATAAAAGACCTCTATGATTTGTATTTCATGTTTAAAAAAAAGACTTGCATTTAGTATTCATTGATTCACTCACTCAGACACAAACTTCCCTTCCATTTTATTAACATTTAGTGTGAATGACATTCATTTTTAGGTTAGGGTTTAGGTGTTCTCAATCTTTGCACAGCTATGGTAGCTAAATGTCTTAAAAGCAATCTCTTGCAATTACATAAAAAAATCTAAACAGTCATTAGATAAATGTTTATCTTAAAAGTGTGTGTTTGTTAGTTGGTTGGCTTTTATATCTCATGTCTTTGGCAAAATTTATTTTGCCATTATTATTTTTATTTGTTTTTGTTTTTTTTTTATATGTATTTTGTTTATTATTTGCTTTTGTTAATTCTAAAAGGTGCTAGCACAGTTTACAGATCGAAACGTTGTTTTATTTGCCGAATTTTAAGGTCAGTTTCTTGGTTGTTCGACCAAAGCTGGTTTACTTTGAACCCAATTGACGAGGCAATTCTTGTGTACTAACAAACTAACGCTTATTTGATTTTAGTTGTTGTAGTATGTATTTTGATTTAAATTATCTAATGTTTATAAAAAAAATTTTGCCAATGTTGCTGTTAATTTGTTGTTTAAAAACTCTTAAGTTTTTTTTTTTTGTATTCTATATTCATTAATATGCACGTATCAAGTATACATATATTTGTGGTACATGTACCAGTAGTGTGTGTAGGTTATAAAGAGTTTAAAGACATATAAATCTAAAATACTACTCAATTGCTAGATTTAAAGTTTTGTTTTTTTAATTAATATACACGTTGAAAAGTAAAAGAAGGTCAAAGCACTCTTAACTCTGTAGGTTTTTGTTGTTTTCGTTGTGGTTCATAGTTGTGTTTGTGCTTTACATTTGTTCTGATTTACTTTTTTGTTTAGTCTTAAGACAAAAAGATCCCTTTGGTTTGATAGAGTTTGCTTGAAAATTTGTAATAAGAACATGTAATATTTTGAAATTTATTTCTTTTTTGTTTCTTTATCAACAAAATGATGATGAAAACTACATATTTTTATTTTTATAGTCTTTTGTTGCTTATAAATGAGTTAATTTTTGTTATTTGTTAAATTTAGGCTTGAATTTTTTAGAGAAATTGAAATTGATTATAATGGTCTTTCTATAAACAAGGGAATCTTTCGAAAATTTTCTAAAAAGAAAAGAATTTAACAAAAATGTTCTAAATAAAAAAAAA